GTAGTAGTCGTTTACTGACGTTTCAGAGGTTGATCCCTCCATCATCAAGGCGATGATTGAGGCATCAGGTACCTCTGTCACGTGTAATGAATGACTGTGGGCCTTCCCTAAGTCCTGCCACGGCTATTTATCGGAATATTTATCGATAGTCGATCTTTGCAACGTTAGGATACCTTAGAAGTTGATGGGGACCCGGTGATTCATACGCCATCTTTCGCAATTGGGAAACCAGACATGGATGGTGGATAATATTAATATGAATGCTAATAAAACAGGATGTAATTATGTGGATTGGATTCATGTGGCTTAAGATGGAGTTCGAAGGCGGGCTATCGTGTACTCGGTATCGGACATTCGAGTACCATAGACGGCGAATATTTGTTGAGCTACTATCAGCTTTTCTGTTGTACTCTACTAATGGAGTTAATTAATAATAGTTTTACGGCTGACATCAAGAAACCCCTGACCAAAGCCTGATTACTTTTTGTCGAAACACCATCCAAGCCATACGAAGTGACTGAATTTTTTATCTCCAGGAGCAGGCAAATTACATAAATCCTTTCAGTATTTGTTCACCGTGGCGATCTGATACCGGTGATGTGAGCTTATCCTACTAAGAATTCAAACTGCGTTGTCCACGTACAGACTTAAGCAGGCAGATGTCGCCGTCTCGTGCAATCAACCATGAAAGATGATACTGTGTTTTATGTGAGACGTATATATTACTATACGAGGTGCGATCGGAAGGTTTCAAGACTGCGCGTATAAAAACCCGTACACTTATCTCAGGTATTAAATTCATTCATCACCCTCGAAGTAGTTCCCCTGGGAGTGAACACAACGATCCCAGCGCCGCTGCCAAGCCTGGAAGCATCCCTGGAAATCTTTCTTTGTCAGCCTGTCAAGCACCATCTGCGATTCTGCCTGAATATCTTGCCAAAGACTCGCCAAAACGGCTACGGAAACCTATGAAATGCTAAAGCAAGCATTTGGGGAGTCCGCAATGGGTCGTGCACAAACTTTTGTGTGGCATTCACGTTTTAAAAACGGCCGAACTTCTGTCGATGATGACGAGCGTTCTGGACGACCATCTTCGAGCACTTACGAAGATTTGGCAGGCCATTCACGAAGATCGACGTCGTACCCTCAACGACTTGTGCGACATTGTTGGGGTAGGCTATGGGACCTGTCAGCTGATTCTAAAGGAAGAACTCTACATGCGACGCATCATGACAACGCGCCAGCGCACACCGCCCTCAAAGTTCGGCAGTTTTTGGCCTCAAACACCATGGCCGTCATCCCGCACCCTCCTTATTCGCCGTGTGACTTCTTCCTCTTCCCAAAGATGAAAATTCAGCTAAAGGGAAGGAGATTTGAGACGATAGAGGAGATTCAGGCAGAATCGCAGATGGTGCTTGACAGGCTGACAAAGAAAGATTTCCAGGGATGCTTCCAGGCTTGGCAGCGGCGTTGGGATCGTTGTGTTCACTCTCAGGGGAACTACTTCGAGGGTGATGGATGAATTTAATATCTGAGATAAGTGTACGGGGTTTTTATAGGCGCAGTCTGGAAACTTTTCGATCGCACCTCGTATATTATATCTTTAGCTTACTCGTCTTGTAAGCGTGGGTTCACAGGATATTATCCACGTCAAGTCTGAACGTTTTTCTTTTGTGCACAAAATTATTTTTCCAAAGTTTTGAATTTATCGACAGTCGTCATTGTATGGTCCTCCCGCAAGTAGCGCTAGTGTTTGTTCGCCCGCCAAGTTGGTATTACCGGTTGTAGGAAACTTTATAGTACGATTTTAAATGGTATAAAGTCCGGAATAAATTTTGTCGAAATCTGTCCGTCGGTTCTGAAGTTGATTCATTCCGTGCGCTCGGTGGCCCAAGTTGCCTTGACAACGGCCGGTTATGACAAAATTTTCTATAATCGCTCTGTGATTTTGGAAACACTTGGTATTTTCTGTCTGGACACGTGCATAGAAACTCCCATGTTTGCTTTGACGTATTAACTCTTGTGACGTGACCTTCCGTCTTGATCTTGTGAGTGGCCCTCTCCAACACTTAGTCAGGGATTCCACTCACAGGCGCATTCGAGTGGTTCCTTTGTTTTCTTGCACGTTTCGTAACCAAGCGACGTCCCTCTCGTCTCTTTGTTTGTTTGTACAAAGGCAATAGACTGGCACCGTGTCCGGGTATTCGAAATTGTCGTACAGGGCGCAGATGGGCGATTTTCGTGGAAATTACTGTAAGAAATTATTCAATGTCTGGACTATTTTTCCCACGGTCCTTGTTTAAAAAGAAGAAACCACGACGTTTCGGACACTGGTTCTGTCCACTGACGGAGACTTGCTCTATCTAACGGACCCAACTGAGTATATACCTTCCGAGCCAGTTTCCGAAACGTCGTGGTTTATTATCTTTAGACAAGGACCGTGGAAATGCAGATAATGAATAATTTTAAGTGTAATCCACTGTCGTCAGATAGTAAGTATTGTAAGATATTAAAGACAAGTTTTGTTTGACTCTAGAAATTAATAATTCATTGTATTTTTTACGTAATTACAGTAATTTTAATGTTTTTGGTCCAATTTTTTGGTTGCGTCATAATCAAATATCTTCGGTTGTCTCTGATAAGCTTATTCTCGATGCCAACCCTTGAATCTTTCCACCATTTCTTGTATTTTTCTCTCATCCTTGCAGATGTCACCCTAACGCACTGTCATTCTGTAAATGAAACTATTTCCCAAACTATGAAAAATTGTTTTGCACGTAGTTTTATTTTAAGTGCATTCTATGAATGAAACAGCAGTGCTAAATTAGCACAGTACTGTACCTACTCCATAGTCATTGAAAACAAAGTGGAATACTTTAATTATATGCACAAACTTGTTCAGTGCTACCAACATATTTTTCGGGAGGTAAAGTATCGAATCGAACCCGAGACCCCAGGACGCTGGCCTTGTAATCCTGGGGTCTCGGGTTCGAATTTATAACTTGTGTTGGGCAAGGCCGTGGTCTAGGCAACACGGAGTTTTCCTCCGTGGCATCCCAACAATTACTTCATTCACACACAGAAGAAGGCAATGGCAAACCACTTCTGGATCATCTGCCAAGAACGTATATGAACAGGTCCCAGTCCGAGAAAAGGATGGAAGGATCCTGTTCATATGGACCTGTCGTCAGACAGAACACTACAAATAAATAAATAAATAAAGTAAATTGCCTCTTTAATCGTCTTTGTACCTACCTGGATGAACAAATCGTGATGTCTTCTAGAGTCTCGATATTAGGATGAGGCGCTGATGGGACTTGCCATAACGCGACTGGAGCTGTTAACGGATTCCACTCGTTGGAAGTCATCCTGATGTCGAAACGCTGTACCTGGTTGAGCTGAAACAAAGGAAGGCCGTGGCCTCCAGCTCCGTGCTCTGAATCTCTGATTGTATCAAAGCACAGAACGCGGGGTCAACAAGACACAGTCAGATTTCAGGCTCTGATGGACGATGAAGTCGTGGGTTCTGACCTCGGGTAGAAATGCGGCCTTGAAGATCCAAAAGATTGTTTCTTCCGGAACGTCAGTGAACGTGTCTATGGTATTTGAAATTATCAATATGCAGATTTTAATGTGGTAAAATCAGATTAAACCCGGAGGTCGGAAGTCAAGTCCTGTCTGTTGACGATAAAGACAATGTGACTAGTGTTTAAAAAATCATTCCTAACCGAAAAGAAAACCACTGGATTACTAAGAATAAAGACAGAGGGACGTAACGGGGGTACGTAATATTTTATAATATTAAACGTCATTATTTTTTCTGTTCACTTAATATTATTAAAGTGTTCAAATTCATGATTATGAGATGGGCGAAGTATTTAATAAGAATTTAAATAGAATACGCTTCGAAGAAAAAGACCACTTGAGAGATCTAGGCATAGATGTGGTGATAATATCCCAATACTTTTAAAAGAAACAAAACTGTCACATTTTATTTGATCCAGGGTCCCCCCCCCAACAGGACGGGGGTCATGTCACGAAAACTTGTGAACACTGTAAGGTAATCATTTATATAAGCGTTTGTCAAACTGTGGTACGCGAACTGAGTAAGGAAATCAAAAGATAATATTAAAATAAATAAGTTTTCAATGAACGTATTTGGTTATTTAATGTGTTTAATTATAATTAGTGTACGTCAGCGAAAAAGGTTGATAACCCCTGGTTTAGATTATTTACGTGGCTTTAAGTTTCTGGAGCAGTTAAGCGACTGAAAGACTGTCAGAAATAAGAAATGTAGATAAAGAATAGATTACGAACCTTCTTCTGTAGAGGCGGGATTTAAGAACGCACCTAAGGCTGCTCGTTTCTCGCTACGGGAAGGCGTTTCGTGACTCTGAGAGTCTGCCGTCGTCTGTCATCAACCGAATACAAGAAAATCATGAGTTACAAAGAATTTTCAATGGCCGTAGAGGTTAATTAGCAATATCAAGTTAGACGTTGCAATAATATGTTATTTTACCTTGCGTTTTGCTGAAAGGAGAAATGACAAGCTGGAACGTGGGAACGCTGTAGAACAGGCAGATGTTTGTCTACGCTTCACTGCAACTCGATGCATCACCCGTCCGTCAGCTCGTGTTTCCCACTCCATCGCTGTCAGGGACTCCGAAGCCGATGTTCTTTGCACGGAATGAAACTACAATACGCGGTGTTGTATTATGGGGCAAGCTGGACCTCCTACGGGGATAAATTAATAAATAGATGACCAAGTAATTGACTAAATCAATAATAACCACCAGCTGCATGGGAACAAAGTCCATCACTAGACGATGACATCGATTAAGTAGCCGAGAATTTTCCAAACTCTTATAGAACACAGAAGTTCATTATTAGGCTCACACGAGCCAGCCATTTGAAACCATTTCACATATTTGTAGCTTAGTTCAGATCCTTTTTAATATTATCGTTTCATATTTATTTTTATTTATTTTTGAATTAGTTACGCTTAAGATGGGTCTGTGGTAGCTGAATGTAAGGTAATGTAATGTAAGGTAAGGTAAGGTAAGGTTTTTTTATTTAGTGTTCTGTTTGACGACAGGTCCATATGAACAGGATCTTTCCATCCTTTTCTCGGACTGGGATCTGTTCATATACGTTCTTGGCAGATGATCCAGAAGTGGTTTGCCATTGCCTTCTTCTGTGTGTGAATGGAGTAATTGTTGGGATGCCACGGAGAAACCGGGGAAGCCCCCGGAGGAAAACTCCGTGTTGCTTGTGATCTTCTATCAGATTTATGCATATATTTCTCATATAACAAGCTTTATATGTACTGTCTATATCTCCCAGCAAACAAATAAATAAACACAAGTAATTAAATAAGTGAATGATTCTGGAATTTTGTAAATAAGTGAGTACTTAAGAAACAAATACACGCCGATAAAATTAATTGTGTGATGTGAAATTTTGAGTGGTTTAGTGGTTATTAGCTGTAAGTGAATACGTGAATACGAAGAGGTAAGAACGCAAATGGGTATTTTGCCTCTTGTTATGTATAGTTCCTTCGGATAAACTGTCCTGAATTAAAACGATTAAAGCAAACATGGTTTTGCAAACACGTCTGATAATGTCTGCACACTGCGAGCGTAAACACAGCTAAACCTGTTATATAAACACTTTACATGGTTCTTTATCGTATCATCAGATTGGCAACCCTGAAATGTTTTTGGTTCTGTGGCGTTGTAGCTTCGTGATTTATACAGAGCATATTTATGCCATCAATATTTATATTTATTTTTACTCTTAATTTATGTAATTCACACGTTTAAAATGACACAGAAACCAGGGGGCCGTCACGAACTGTGTTTGTAGTGACCGGTGGAGCTCCATTGGGCAGAGTCCTTCTTGGCAAACTGGTAGCCCCTCGGCAGATCCAGGAATTCGCCATTTTGACACTCAAGACCCAGTGGTAACTCTACGTACCACTTGTCTGCATTTTATCCACAGTACATTTGTGGGTCTCGTATTATTCTCACAATAAAAATCGATTAAGATAGTATAATTGCGTCATATTGTGGATCAAATATTAAATTAATTATTTGGTTTTGTCCGTCTAATCACAATTATATTTAAAATTTACAAATAAGATAATTAAATTATCATTTTATGTTCCACATCGAATAATCGATTTACATTTGGAATCGATTATTCGATGTGGAACATAAAATGATATTTTAATTATCTTATTTTAAATACAATTGTGATTTGACGGAAAAACCAAATAATTAATTTAAAAATCGATTATTTCCTTAAAAAATATTTAAACAGTAGATCTTTGTAATGGTAGAGATTTGTGTTTTCTTTGAGGTACGGACTGAATTCTTAAATATTTGTTATCGCCCTAACTTCTTCACTCTTAATTTATTTCTACTAGAAGGACGAGAGGGCAATACCTGGGAACCTTCTAACTATAAGATGATTAAGCAATTGTGGAAGTGACTGTGGCGTTAGAATGCTGTTATATAATAAAAACCATGGCTTGTCATAATAGCTGCCACTTTGCGGAAGCACCGAGCTTATGGCGAAGTCAAGGTAAAGCTTGTAGGATTATTACCATTTTATTGTTTGCGCGTGTGAATTCAGTTTTTCTCTCACCGTAAAAAGGTCTCTGATACCCACGGGTTTGATTCAAGACTCGATGGCGAACATTTCATATCCGTGCAAGAATTTTTCCTGAGACCTTTTTTTATATTTAATTAAAATAATTGCATCTTTCTTATACCTTGCTATTAGTCACGGTGAATAGCGAAATGACTTTAAAAAAATAATGTTACATGGTGAGGGATTTTTACCCGTGACTGTTCGATAACTTTTTCTCAGTCTGGGACATATGAGATTTCATCACGTGCACTAAAGCTCAGCGGCAATGTGTTCGGGTAGTCCGGCTTCACAGTGGAGCCTGCCACCTGGAGGCACAGTGTCACACTCCAGGAATTTGTGATACGTGTACTGCCCAATCGCAGACTAGTGTGCTGTCCAATCTCAAAGTAGTGTACATGTCCATTGCACATTTTAGACGGAAAACTTTCATGAAAGAGACAATTTGGGAGACGTAGGTGTAGATGGAGCTGTGAGATACCTCCTCGCTTCACTCTAGATATTTTAAGCAGTTTCATTAGCCATTTAAACTTTATAGGAATATTTTTTAGCCAAATTGACAACTCGTTTTCAATACGCACGTTGAAAACTGCAGGAATCTACCTTAAATATAAATAGATTTTCGTATTTTAGTAAATGGAATGTCTTCGTTCATTGATAAAATAAATAATTCATAAAATTAGCAAAATTATGAAATAATGTAGTGAATCAGTCAGGACGTAACTACACTGGCGCTGGTAGGCAGAAGGTTCATCTTTGCCACTGGCACCATGAACAAGCGTCTGGTAATTTTGCCATTCGCCGTCATTTTATCTCCATGTGCCTTTAAATTCTTCTTCGCCTTTTGATTTAGTGTAAGCTTAGCGCCTGCAATACCGTGTCCAAGCAACACGCCGAACTGTCATGCCAGAGAAGTTGCCGCAAGTGTAAGGCGTTATTTTCTTTATAGCTTGTGTTGGCCTCGGACAGAACTTGGCAGATGGCGGATTTTTTATCACATTGAGTAGGAAAGGCTTATGAGCGCAGTGCAATTCTGACGATAGCTGTAATTTACTTTTAAACAGCCTGAAATATTGTGGATGTCTGAACATTGATAATTTTACGAAAGATCCATTGGGCATAGAAAATTCTGAACATTTTGTAATCTACAGCTATGCAACAAATTGACTGATCAACTGAACAGCTAGTAATTTCTTATTATTTATTTCAATTGACCTGATGTGAAATTAATTTCTTCCCAAGTTTACTTATTGTATCAAAATAAAATATTTTCGGTTCGGCCCTGAACTATGCTCACATTAATCATTAGCATGGATGTTGCTTATTTCAGACGTAGTTTGAGCAGTGATGATTCTTGGTTTGTCCCGAATACGCTGATTGTTCTGATTCTTGAGCTCGCAATATATGGGCTCTCAGAATCGCCTACCATTTTGACGTGTCCACCCTCCTTTAAAAAAATTCCGCATATTCGTACATTTTCCTGTGGCACATGCAGGTACCGCTGTGCTTATCTGTAGTTCTACCGCAGTTTTCGATAGGTTTAAAGCCCTCTCAAGAAAAAATATTATGTCGCTGATAACTTTTCATTTTGGCATATTCTGTCAATGAATGGTTCATACTGCACGTACTATCAATACTGCGAGGACGACAAAATATATTTGCAACTGAGGAAAATCTTCAGATTATTAAATACTCGCGGCACGCAGTCTTTTCAGTACTACCATTATATTTTTTTGAAGCGAACTATTTCTTTCAATTTCTCTCGTACTTGATATATCATCGTGAAATAAACAGAGAACCAACACAGCTTTTCCTAGTTCGCTATGCATGGTCATTTTGTTATGTAACCTGACACCTAATTATTTTGTAAGTTTATGCGTCGTTAAATAATTAAGGGAACAGTTAAGGGATTGTAGTAACAGACGTTTTGTGTGAACGGGATTTTATATTCGTACACAGCGAGGAGTAGAATGGGTCTGCTATGTATGGTTATTATGTTATGTAACCTGACACCTAATTATTTTGTAAGTTTATGCGTCGTTAAATAATTAAGGGAACAGTTAAGGGATTGTAGTAACAGACGTTTTGTGTGAACGGGATTTTATATTCGTACACAGCGAGGAGTAGAATGGGTCTGGTTGCTATGCGCGTAGGAACGCCTTATTTAAATAATCTGATTAATGGTCCAGTCCCAGGCCGCCAAATGGCTGACTCTCTCATACCAACTTCGTCGTATTTGTGATGTTTTGAAAGACCTTAAGTTGTTACTGCGTTAGAACGAACGGAATTTTATGTCAGGTGATGAACCTGCCGTCCTTATTGCTACTTTGCAATTATCTTTCATGCATTCAGTAATTAATTCATGATTTATTTTCAACATTTTCCCTTTGTCCTCCCTTCCTTCCATCTTTCTGTCTTGAGTCAGTTCAATGCTGTTCGTATATTCCGAATAGACACACATTTACGCTCTCGTAGAATACTTATGGATGTTCATGAACTTTTCCAACCCAAATGTAATCGTCCTTATTGCTACTTTGCAATTATCTTTCATGCATTCAGTAATTAATTCATGATTTATTTCCAACATTTTCCCTTTTGTACTCCCTTCCTTCCATCTTTCTGTCTTGAGTCAGTTCAATGCTGTTCGTATATTCCGAATAGACACACATTTACGCTCTCGTAGAATACTTATGGATGTTCATGAACTTTTCCAACCCAAATGTAATTATTTATCTTCGTTAAGCGTG